TGGGGTATAAATCCAATCTCCTCCTCCTCCTCCTCCTCCTCCTCCTCCTCCTCACAGCATAGAGTTGCCGTACATGTGTATAATCAGTTAGTGACTTTCTGTCTGGCACATGGTGTTGTAGGTTCAGATTATCAGTGAAATCATCAGGGTTTTTTTCAGAGCAAAAACAGAAGCACTGAATCCAGCTCTTCACTGCTCTCTCCCATTTCCAAAGAACTGATTAGAACTATTGCAGATACTCCAGTCAGGGCAGCATGCATCCAGAAACCACATTCACCATGCTCATTAAAGCTTGTGGCTCCTTTTGCCTATATGTGAACTGAAGCCTGTTTCGATTGATCGATTGATTGATCGATCAGTAGATAGACAGACAGACTTAGTTGGCCTACAGCAACTATCTTACAGGTACTTGCAGTACCCAGATGACTGCATTTTAGACATTGCTCACTATTACAACAGATGCAGTAGCTGGGGGGAAGGATGACATCTTTTAGCTGCCAAAAATACTTCATTGTGGCCCTGACCTGGGTAGCTTAGGCAAACCCGATCTCATCAGATCTCAGAAGCTAAACAGGGCTAGTATTTGGATGGGAGATCTCCAAGGAATACCAGGGTCGTGACACAGAGGTGGGCAATGGCAAGCCACCTCTGAATGACTCTTGCCTTCAAGCCTTACTTGGAGTCACTAGAAGTCAGCTTGACTTGATGACCAAACCCCCCCCCCCAACCCTTCATTGTGTGTACTAGAAGAACAATATCACTAGAATCAGAATAGAACATCTGGTGAGGGTGGGAGGAAGAAAGGGAGATCTTGCTGGTAGCAGCTGAGTCCCACCTGGGCCTTTCTCTTCCTGCAGGTGCGAGAAAACTTGGACTTCATGAGCTGAAGGGCAACAGTCAAAGGGCTCTTCTTGGTTCTTCAGCTCTTGACCACAGGTGGTACCTGTGGATGTGCCAGCAGTGGGTTCCCAACTCATTCAAACCATGTCGCTCTTGTTCCGTTTTGGTTTATCTGTATTATATTTGTTTGATGTTGTTTGTTGTGAGCTGCTTAGAATCCCGTTGAGGAAACAGGGTAGATATAAGCGCATGAATCAAAATAAGAAGACCACGATGCAGGGTATTTTGATTCTCCGCAACAGATCAGCAACATCTATTAAGTTTAAAACAAGAAATGCTGAAAGGCCCATAAACATTGTGTTTTGGGGCTGTGGCTCAGTGGTAGAGTATGTGCTTTGCATGCAGAAGGTCCCAGGTTCAATCCCTGGCATCTCTAGTCAAAAGATCTGGCAGTAGGTAATGTGACAGACCTCCACCTGAGACCCTGGAGAGCCACTGCCAATCTAAGTAGACTGTGCTGACTTTGATGGACCAAGGGTCTGATTCAGTATAAGGCAGTTTCATGTGTTCATATGTGTTCAGTATTTTGAGTCTTACAAAGCTCACAAGGCCTTCTCCTTAGTTATCCAGTTTTAACATGATCTAACCAACATGACTTAGATAGCCCAGGCTTGATCATCAGATCTCGGAAGCTAAGCAGGGTTGGCCCTGGCTAGTATTCGGATGGGAGACCTCCAAGGAATACCAGGGCCATGGCCCAGAGGCCGGAAATGGCAAACCACCTCTAAACATCTCTTGCCTTGAAAACCCTACGGGGTCACCATGAGTCAGCTGTGATTTGAAGGCAAAAACTATAACAGCAACCAGTCCAACATTACATTCTTGGACACCTCCGTGATGTAGATTCAAACTGAGAGCAGGAAGGTATGCCTTTGGAAGTCACTCCATGGAAGCAGGATCAGACTCTAATTTGTTTTCCCTCATATTAATATTTTGAAGTTTCTTGTAGGAGCTGATCGCCGTCACATGTGCTAATGAAAGGTTTTCCTAAAGTTAATTTCCCCACTCATAATACAATAAACAAATTTACTTTAACACTTGAAAAAACCCATCCATACTAAAGAGAATCAGTTGCTTAATCCCAAAATTAAAGGTTATTGCATGCAAGAGAAAATAATTACATGCTCAAAATATGGAAAAAAAGAAAACTTTTTTTTAATATGTAGGTATTTGTATAATTAAAGACTAATCAAGCATGAAGGCTGCTGCCTAAACCAGAAAATGAGATTGTTGGCAAGCAATATTGCAATGTAAATGCCATTTTTGTTTAAGTACTAAAAAGCTGGAGGAATGATATCCAGAAGAGATTAAAAGCAAACAGCATTGATAATAAATATTTATCAGATTTCAAATGCAACATGATATTTTACATGCAAGATGTATTTGCACTGAACTGTTCAGTCCTTTTTTCAGGGTCTGCTAACACCTTTGCTTTTAAAAAAAAAATGTGGGCAAGGAAATGGTTTATCCATTTCCCCAACTACAAGATTTCAACTCTACCCAGACATATCAGTGTTCTGTAGACTAAAGGCAAGAGAACCTCCTACAGGAAGCATGTTTCCCACTTTATGCGTCCTGAACCCCCATTTTATGGCAGATGTGGACAACAAATGTCTGTAGACCGCTTCCTGTCAACTGGCAGTGCAGTCCTAAGCAGAAGTGGTGGTGGAGTATTTTGGACTGTGGGGTTTCCAAGACAAGAGACGAACAGAGGTGGCATGCATTGCCTGCTTCTGTGTTCCAAACCTGGGCTTTCTTGGTGGTCTCCCATCTGAGTACTAACCAGGGCTGACCTTGCTTAGCTTCCAGATTTCATGAGATCAGGCTAGCTTGGGCCATTGAGATCAGAATTACACCCTTCTAAAACTGCTGAAGGTCCCAAGCTTGAAATGGTGATGTTCTTTTTAGGATTGCACTGTTTCTCCTACCCCTTCTCATTTCCCCTTCCAGTTCCCTCCAAATCCCAGGAAAGTAGAGACTATAAAACAACACAAACAACAACAACTACACTCAAATGACCTTGGCTGAGCTGATTCAATGTCTACCCCGTTCTTTTAAGAAACGATGACACCTCTGCAAAATAGAAAACCAGTGTGGTGTAGTGATTAGAGGGGAGGATTAGGATCGGGTAGAACCAGGTTTCAGTCTTTTCTCTGCCAGGGAAGCCTGCTCAGTGGCCTTGGGCAAATCACTCTCTTAGCCTAATCCACCTCATAGGGTTGTCATTCTGAGGGTAATGCGGAAGAGGGGAGAATGATGTTGTAAGTTTCTTTGGGTCCCCATTGGGGAGAAAAGTGGGGTATAAATATCTAAATAAATTTAATTATATAATGATGTACAACAAAGAGTCTCACAGCACTTTACAGACTGACAGTTTTATTCCATTGTGAGCTTTCAGGGACTAAACCCTCCTTCCCCCATAGCATGAAGTATTAGTTGGCTGACAGATACATACATGGAGTTGGATCCCACCTGTGTTTTTCTGCTGGTGAAAAGGAACTATGGATCCAACCACCAGAAAAGGCTATGCTGAGAATCATGGGACCTGCTTGGATAAAAGCCATGGGGGATGGGAATCAGGTGAGATTGTGTAGAAAATCTGGCTAGGTCCAACCCACTGGGGGGGGGGGGAGATGTAACAATGGGCCCCAAAGGCCATGAAATCTACAGAATTCTAGTATCTCTGTTTACACTATTTTTCTGTCCATCTGTCTATATTCCAGCTGAGGGTATGACTTCTTGCATGTGACAATGTTCGCTGTAGCTCACAAATACTTATGCTACAATAACTCTGTTAATCTGGAAAGTACCATAAAACTGTTGATTTTGTTGTAACAGACTGACAGGCCATCCATATGGAATTAGTCTTTCAATGGATCGATTTGCTGGTCTTCAATATGCAATAGTCACAATGAGAAGGTCAAATGAATGAGATCCATACATGCTGTCTAGTGACACTGTCCACTAAAGACTTTTTGAAACTATTTCAATGTAAACATCCCCATAAATTCCCCAAATAAATACTTTACACCTTTAGGCATCATGTACACAGCATGTCAATAAAATAGGCATTCTGCAAACATAGATACCACCCTGGCTACCATTCAAAGTCATTGGCCCCTCAATTTCATAATTGTAAAAATGCATGAAGGGAGAGCAGAGCAGCTCCGTCCTACAACATGTGTGGCCTGTTCCATCTCAGATTTAACTTTCCTGGCTTCCACTACTTATGGCTTCATCTCAATGTGAGGCTGAATTGAGGGTCTAAGAAGGGAACTCTCCCCTCCCCCCTTATTACATTGTCTTCTGCCCCTTAGTTCACGTGTGGTTTGCTTCCTATGAAATGCGGGCCACTGTTTTGAGATCAGATTTTCCTTCTCATCAGGATGCCTTGGAGACTCTAGGCATCAAATTTCAGCTTCCTTTTTCTGTTGTGCAGGCACAGCGACCATTCTGACATACCCATAAACCAACATGTGAGTGAGACTCAAGGATCATACCATTATGTACCTTATTCCTAGATTGCTAGCATTTTCAAATTAGATACTCACAAATAAGATCACAACATCTAGTTTGTACTCTCCAAATCAGAAAATATTCTACAAACCAAACGGCAGTGCTGTCCTAAAAAGAGTTACACCCATAATTGAAGTTAATGGGCATAGGAGGGTGTAACTCTGTTTAGGATTGCGTTGTAAGTCTAGATGGAAAACAGAGAAAATGGGTTTCACACCTGTAAAATAGGTACTGTTGGAAAATCAATATTATAACCATCTCCTGCTATTGTAAATCTTAATGTATGGACTATAGACAAGGGTGCCCTGACCTAGATAGCCCAGGCTAGCCTGATCTCATCAGCTCTTGAAAACTGAGCAGGGTCAGCCCTGGCTGGTATTTGCATAGGAATACCAAGGTCGTGACATGGAGGCAGGCAATGGCAAACCATCTCTGGACATCTCTTGCCTTGAAAAACCTTAGGGGGCCACCATAAATCAGTTGCAACTTGATGGCAACAAACAGACAAACAACAGAGAAGGATCCCTGTCCAATTATGCATGCATGTACCCCATTCAGTAAACTTGTAGACATGCTGATCTTCACTTTGATGGGCAGAGGAAAGCCGAGGACCCACTTCCACCCATTTCCAAATAGCTATCAGCATTTTTGTTGAAAGGTGTATGTGCCTATGTAATGGCCTGAATGTCCAGCCTAGTCTGCCCGATCTTCTCAGAGAATGGAAGCTAAGCATGATCAGCCCAGGTTAGTACTTGCATGGGAGATCACCAAGGAAGACCAGGATTGCTGTGCAGAGAAATGCAATGGCAAACCACCTCTGCTCATCTCTTGCCTTGAAAACCAGGGTTGCCATGAATGTGTTGCGACTTGACAGCACACAATTATTTATGTGCATACAGTCCCAGCAGCTGCACTGGAACCACATGGGCAGCAATCACTTGCCCATGCGTTTCCTTTTCCACCTACGAATGCGCATGTAGAAGAAACCTGCTTCCGTTCACATACCCTCTAGCTGGATTGGGGTAACTTGGCTCAGTTCAGAGGTATACCCATACTATGCCTCATTAGCCCTGCAATCAGTAATTTGAGCGAAAGGTTCACATCCAGGTTTAAGAATCGACATTACTCCTGACAGCAAAGTCAGATTGTGAGCCACAATGCCTTGATGTTCACAGGATCTCCCATTTGTTTGAACACAGCATTACTCTGCAGTGGTTTACATAGAAATGCCATGGCTCTTTCTTTTAGTGTCCAGTAAGGATGGAAGCTTGTGGAATGCCAGATCGGTACAACTCCATGACTGAATGAGGGCAGTAAAAGGCAGCTTCCACGAAATGCCACGACTTGGGATGATTTTTTTTCCGCTGAACAATTTAAGGGGCTGCAAGTGTATAGAGAAATTGGAGCCAGTTAGCGAAATCAGATTGAAAATTGAGCTACATCCGAGTAATGCCCTTGTGAGGGATTGCTTAAATTAGACTGAGTGTCCAAACAAAAAGGTTACGTTGAGGTGACCGGATCAGTTTAGATCCCAATTAATTCCACTGCTGTAATACCCATGCCAAACTCCTGGAATTAACTGCTTTCTGAAACCATTGAGCACGTAAGTGCATGAAGTGTCAGTATGCTGGGAAGATGGGATTTCGAGCAATCCAGTTCTATTGCTCAGCGCCTTCTAACCCTGGTTGTCTTCTGAGCAATACCATCCAACCAGCAGCAGAATATAGACAATAAAGTTTTTTATTCACATAGGCTTGATGGAAAAACCTTTTGCACAAGGTGTCATTGAACTGATTCCAGCAACATGAAAGATTTTTCCTGACAAAACCCTGAAAAAAAGAGGAACTTGGAAGACAGATA